GTTCATGAACAGAATTTGTTTTAGAATTTTTCTAGACAGTAAGAGGCTGCTTACTAACTGTTCTTGCCCTGAGGCTTTCTTTAGCCACAAATCTGAGAGTCAACTTCATTTAGATTAAAAGGGCAGGGACGTGTGTGTCTCTCTCTCTCTCACGGCTGGCCAGACACACACACAGTATCCCCTATTACAAGACAATAAGTGCATAATGTTTTCACCCCTTAGGTCATAGAGAGCTGAGATACTACCACCTGAAAAAAAAACCCTTTCCATCAGGTGAAATGACTCTATGGCCTTCTTTACCAAAAGGGCTTTTGGATTACCTACAGCATCTCCTCCTGAGAAAAGGCTATCTGGACAACAAATTCAGAGGGCTTTTTGAAAATGAAACCTCATAGCCCCACCATGTAATGATCAGGTCCCAAGTGTACAAAGTGAACAGGGACAATCAGAGGCTAGAGACTCTAAGAGATCCTAGTAGGCTATAGAAAGTGACTAGCTGGTGAGCTATGCATTCCAGAAGCCTTTAGAATCAGCTTGCTTGTTGAAAGTAGTCTTGCATTCTGCCACAGGAGATAGAGGTGGATAATCAGCTCTCAGTCAGCCTTCAGAGAAAGCCATAACTTTCCCCTTTTGGGGGAAGCCCAAGGGACAGGATATATACCCAAGAGAATACAGGATAAGCTTTGATTCCTTAGCAGAAAACAAAGAGGTTCCACCTGATCTTTAAAATCATCTCTGGCCTCATGCAGGTCCTCATGCTTTTTTTGGATTTTCTAGTGGAATCCAGAGGCCTGCAGCAAGGTGGATCTGAGGATGTCCATTTCACCCTGACAAGAATTCCTTTTACCAGGTTACCTGTCTCAATAGATATCTGAAGCTGATAATGAGCCAATTCTACAAGTATTTTTGGTTCACTTTATTGTCTCGATAAGTTTCCTAACATAAAAACTGTAAACCAAATGTCAGACCTTCTCTTCTGGCCAACTTAATAACCTACACAACTTTCCTTCAATTCCCAAAGAATATTTTTCAAAAATAATAGGATTAGAAACTTAAATATCATCACTATATGAGTGTCCTGTCCAAATTTCAGCAAACAAATTATAAGTTGCTGAAGTAATCAGTCATTTAACAATGTTTTTGTAAAGGATCACAGATGCTCATCCACAATTGATCATGACACAAATGAGAATGAAACAAAACACAGATAGATTTTAAAGCAGGAGACCACAACTTCTTACATTTTTAACTTTAATGAGGGAGACACCAACTCTCCATTTGTCCAAAAAAATTCCAGGCATTTACTTGTGTCCAATG